CTCTCCTACGAACACATGCACACACATAATTATACAAAATAACAGGGTCCAGCCCTAGCTGGTTTGGCTCAGTGGATAGAGCATCAGCCTGTGGACTGAAAGGTCACAGGTTCGATTCCGGTCAAATACCTTGGTTGTGGGCTCGATCCCCAGTGGGGGGCATGCAGGAGGCAGCTGATCAGTGATTCTCTCTCATCATTGATGTTTCTATCTATCTCTCCTTCTTGCTTCCTCTCTAAAATCAATAAAAAATATTTTTTAAAAATAACAGAGTCCCTACTGCCCTGACCGGTTTGGCTCAGTGGATAGAGCATCGGACTGCAGACTCAAGGGTACCAGGTTCTATTCTGGTCAAGGGCATGTGCCTTGATTGCGGGCACATCCCCAGTGGGGGGTGTCCAGGAGGCAGCTGATCGATGTTTCTCTCTCATCGATGTTTCTAACTCTCTATCCCTCTCCCTTCCTCTCTGTAAAAAATCAATAAAATATATTTAAAAAATAAATAAATAACAGAGTCCAACTTAGAGTCCAGAAAATAAAAGATGACTTTAAATTTATGGTTAGGAAAAAATAGTGTTTACTCCAAAAAGGAATTATTGGAAGTCATATAGTCTCATCAAGATAAGGTACAACAAAACCAATGAGCAAAGGTGTTCTCTGAGAGACAAGTTATATGCTGTTTATGATTTTCAGTTTCCTAAGTGTACCTTTGCTTAGTAATTATTCTATACTAGTAGCCCTGAGCACAAATCCATGTGCCAGTAGCTCTCTGCAGGGCCTGGCCACTCCGGGTCCACTGCCCAGAGGCTCTCCATGGCCCAGAGGCCCATCCGTGCCCCAGCCTGGCCAGAGGCCCATCCGCAGCCAGGCATGGAATGCTTGCCTTGTTGCTGGAGCGATGACACAAGCATTCACCACCCTCCCCACCGTCGCTTCGTGCCCGCTGCCCAGGTGCCCTCTGAAGCTGGGGTGGACTGCTTGCCTGGTCACTGTGGCGAAGAAGCAACCATTTCACCAGGCCACTCACGCTGCCCACTCTCAGCGGCTGCCCCCCAGGACTGGGGAACTCCAGCAGGGCTGAGAGGACTGGGAGCTGCCATCTTGTGGCTATGGGTGCCGCCATCTTTGTGATGGAGTAATGGTTAATTTGCATATTACCCTTTTATTATATAGGATAATAAAGTTTAATATGCAAATCAACTGAATGACAGAACGCTATGACACACACTGACCACCAGGGAGCAGATGCTCAACTCAGGAGCTGCCCCCTTGTGGTCAGTGCGCTCAGCCAGAAGCCAGGCTCATGGCTGGCGAGTGGTGGCAGGAGCCTCTCCTGCCTCCACTGAAGGTGGGCGGTAAGGATCGAGGGGCCCCAGACTGCAAGAGCCCCAGACTGCGAGAGGGATGTCTGACTGCTGGCTTAGGCCTGATCCCCACAGATCGGGACGAGGCCAGCAGGCGGACATCCCTGGAGGGGTGGGTCCCAGACTGCAAGAGGATGCAGGCCAGGCTGAGAGACCCCACCTAGTGCATGAATCTCATGCACTAGGCCTCTAGTTAGTATTTAATAATGAATTATCAGAGAAGGATATGCACAAGACAAATGTCAGGCTATTGCTAGATCTTAGGATAGACAACTCACAAACATGTGAAAACTTCTCTTGAAATTAATACCAAGGAGTAAAACTATTCTTCTGTAAGAAAAGAGAAAACCACTTCCTAATTCCTCCATGAAAGAGAGCAGGCTGTCAAGAGGCCAGATGTGAGATTCTGTATTTCCCTTTCCTTTTGTCAAGGATCTGTGCTGTGTCACAGCCTGGCATGTGAAGGAAGGTTCAGGCAAGACTGGGGTTAGGAATATGGCAGCTTGCATGTGGCAATAACATGAGCAGCAGCAGAAAATGCTCGGTGGAAGATCATGTAGGTTAAATGTTAATTATCCTCCTCATTTTTCTTTCTTTTAATAAGAAAAAGAAAATAAAAGGTATCATCTGCCATCAGACAGGATACCAACCAGAGAATATGATTCTTCAGGCTTTTCAAGCCTGCACCCAGCATAGGTTGGGTGAATCCTAACTCAATAAAACAGATGTTCTTATAAAAATGGGACATTGGGTCACAGAGACTGGGCAGAGGAAAGACAATGTGGAGAAGCTTTTTCTTTTGATGTAGTCCCCTCTGTTCATTTTCTCCTTTTTTACCCTTTCCCTAGAAGATGTATCGAGAAACATTTTGCTGCAAGATATGTCTGAGATTTTGCTGCCTATAGTTTCTTCCAGGATTTTTATGGTTTCACAACTTACATTTAAGTTTTTTTATCCATTTTGAGTTTATTCGTGTGTGATGTAAGTTGGTGGTCTAGTTTCAGTTTTTTGTTTATTTGTTTATTTTGTTTTGTTTTTTTTGCATGCGTCTGTCCAATTTTCCCAACATCATTTATTGAAGAGACTGTCTTGACTCCATAGTATGCTCTTGCCTCCTTTGTCAAATATTAATTGATCATAATGGTTTGGGTCAATTTCTGTGTTCTCTGCTCTGTTCCATTGATCTGTATGCCTGTTCTCATGCTGTACCAGGCTGTTTCGAGTACAGTGGCTTTGTAGGATAATTTGATATCCAGTATTGTGATTCCTACTACTTTGTTCTTCTTTCCCAAGATTACTGTGGTTTAAAAGCTTCTGCACAGCAATCAACAAAAATGAAACTATCAACAAAACAAAAAGGGAGCCCACTGTATGTGAGAACATATTTGCCAATGATACATTTGATTAGGTGTTAATTTCCAAAATATATAAAGAACTCATTCAACTTAACAAAAGGAAGACAAACAATGCAATTAAAAAATTGGCAAAGGGCCCTGGCCAGTGAAGTTCGTTCAGTGGATAGAGTGTGGGCCCATGGGCTGAAAGGTTAAGAGCTCGATTTCTGGTCAAGGGCACATTCCAGGGTGGCAGGTTTGATCCCCGGCCCAGGTCAGGTGGCAACCAATCGATGTGTCTCTCACATCAATGTTTCGCTCTCTCTCCCCCTCCCACCCTCCCTTCCACTCTCTAAAGAAAGCAATGGAAAAAAATCCTCAAATGAGGATTAACAAACAAAACGAACAAACACAGAAGAAAAAAAAATTTGGCAAAGGACCTAAATAGATGTCTCTCCAAAGAAGACATACAGATGGCCTAGAGGCATATAAAAAATGTTCAAAGTACTAATGATCAGAGAGATACAAATCAAAACAACAATGAGGTACCCTCTCACACCTGTCAGAATGGCTACCATCAACAAATCAACAAGTGACAAGTGCTGGCCAGGATGTGGAGAAAAGGGAACCCTAATACACTACTGGTGGGAATGCAGACTGGTGCAGCCAGTACGGAAAACAGTATGGAGTGTCCTCAAAAAATTAAAAATGCAACTGCCGTTTGATCCAGTGATCCCACTCCTAGGAAAATATCCTAAGAATCCCAAAACACAAATCAGAAAGACTATATGTACCCTTATGTTCATAGCAGTGCTATTTACAATGGCTAAGATCTGGAAATAGCCCAAGTACCCATCAGTAGATGAATAGATTTAAAAAGCTGTGGTGCTTTTACACAATGGAATATTATCTATAACAATAAAAGCATAATATGCTAATTACATCCTTCTGTACATCCTTCCAGATGAAGCCAGGGCTGCAAGGGAAGCCCAGGTCCCAGGTGCCAGAGGGAAGCTGGTGCCAACAGCTGGGGGAAGGAAGGCCTACTCTTGCATGAATTTCGTGCATCGGGCCTCTAGTGCAGCTATAAAGAGGAAGGATCTCTTACCTTTTGAGATAGCATGGATGGACCTGGAGCGTATAATGCTAAGGGAAATAAGCCAGTCATAGACAAGTATTGCATGATCTTGCTCATCTGTGGAATCTAACGAATAAAATAAACTGGTGAACAAAATAGATCCAGAGATATAGAAGCATGAGACACAGTGACAAATCTCTGAGGGAATGGGGGAAGGTGTAGGGCAGGAAAAGATTAACCAAAGAACAGATGAACACATACAATAGTGTAGTGAAGACCTTGGTGGTGGGTAATTTAAATCTTATGAATTGTTTATTTCCAGAATTTTTCATTTAGTATATTTGGAATGCAGTTGACCATGGATAACTGAAACCAGGGAACACAAAACTGCAGACAAGGTGAACTACTATATAAGCAAGTAGTTATATACTCAAATATTTAGTTTGTTAGTAGTTGAATTTACACAGTTGTAAGCTGGGACAAAGGAGAGGAGATTTACACTTATTAGCTCAAATCAGACCCCTTTTTTCTTAATTTGAAATGTACCAGAGAAACAACTGACCATAAGTCTAATCATAAGGAACAAAACGTTTGAGAATAATTTGCCGGAAGCCAGTCCATCCTTGCTGCTTGACACAGTCCCTGCAGGGAAGAAACATCTGCACAGCATATGTTTCAAGGGACCTGGCGTATATGGCATACTGTTCTTAATATGTTTGCTCCTCTTTTTAGTGCTATGTGTTTTAACCAAGGTCACCTCTCCGAGAAAGGTTGTTTCCCCGGGTGGTGATTTTTCCCTGGAGTTAGGGAGGGAATAAAACCCCTTAACTAAGTGCCAGGCGGGTAATTAATCACTTTAACTATGAACAATCAGGCTTAAGCTACATAATCTTTACTTAGGATAATCTCCTTCAGTTACTTCCTTGTAGCTTAATAGAACAATAGAGTAACCTTGGAATGGAGATAAGAAACGCCCTAACCTTTGGAATAGAATGGATAGGATTAAAATCAACTGGTATAAATACAGATGTAACGACAATAAACACAGAACCTGGCTGGAGATCCTGGCTAGAGAACCTGGCTAGGCTGCTGATCAACTGAACACTGTCTCCCTGTCATTCCTTCTTTGCCGACTCTGTCCACACCTTTGGGAACCCCTGGACCTGCTGGGGTTGGACCCCAACAATTGGCGCCCAAACGGTCGCCAGAGTAAGATGCCTTCTCCCTCCTCTCTGAGAGCCTGGCCCAGTCTATCCGATTCGGTCAACATGGATTTCAGGGAAATTCTCATGATAGCTTCTAAAGGACAAGGAGCCAACAGCATACCGAAAAGGTATAGTTTGGCAGTGGGTCCTGCCAAAAAAGACCCAAAAGTTAAGGGTGTCCAGCCAGCAGCTGTACAAGCTTTTCTCAGAAGAAAAGAGGAGGAGCTCAGACGAAAAGCCTTAGAGGAAAAAAGGAGAAAAGAAGAACTAGTGAAAAAGCGAATTGAGTTAAAAAATGACAAGAAAGCAAGAGCTATGGCCAAGAGGACAAAGGACAATTTCCATGGTTACAATGGGGTTCCTGTTGAGGAAAAGTCAAAGAAAAGACAGGCAATGGAAAGCCATGGTCAGGGAACAGACCAAGAGTATGAGATGGAAGAAGAGGAAGAATTCTTAGAATACAATCAAGCAGCATCAGAGCAGGAGTATGAAGAAGAGCAAAAACCTCCTCCCAAAGTTGAAAGTAAACCAAAGGTCCCCCTTAAAAGTGCCCCACCACTCATGAACTTCACTAACTTACTCAGGCTGGCTGAGAAAATGCAGTATGAACCAGTGGAAATCAAGGTGGTGAAGAAAACAGAAGAGCGGCCTATGACTGCACAAGAACTTAGGGAGCGAGAATTTCTTGAACGAAGGCATAGGAAAAATAAACCTGAGGCAGATGCAAGACTACCTCCAACCAAAAAGGCACCCTCTCAGACAGAAAGTATGGGCACAAAACCTAGCAGAGTTTCTGGGAACAAGCATCCTTCCTCCAAGGGTACTCCCCTTCCTTGTGATGAGAAGAAATCCAGACCCAACGTAGCTAATGAGAAACATTTAGGTTTGTTTTCATCCAAATTCTTGCCAGGAGAGAGTACCAAAGCAGGATCTAGCAACTGCCCCCAACCCTCACTTTGGAAGGACCATGACAGGCCTGTTTTCAATGGGGCTGGAAAGACCCACTCGAGCACCTATTCACCAAGTGTTCCAAAGACTTCTGCTAAAGGGACGCAGAAATCTGTTACTGAGAACAAAGCCAAAAAATCTCCTCCACATCCTAGCCATTCCAGACCTGGACCCGTGGTCACCCCACATAAGGCGAAGAGTCCAAGTGTCAAGCAGCCAGGCAGCAGTTCCAGCCCAGCTCCTGGACGGCCCAGCATAGGGAGTGTTCGGCCTACAGTTAGTTCTGGCTCCGTGCCCAAGCGCCAGGATGGCAGCTCTAGCTCAGGACCTGAGCGATCCGTCAGTGGGACCAAGAGGCCAGCCAGTGACTCAAATCCTCCTGGAAGGACAGGTGGCTCTGGACGACCCATCAGTGGCTCAGGTGGTTCTGGGAAGTCAGTGATCAGCTCTGGTGGCCCTGGGCGGCCTGTGCACAGTCCACATGACCGACGACCAATGAGTGGCTCAGTGCCCCCCGGGCGGTCAGTCAGTGGCTCAGTTCCAGCTGGACGGACTGTCAGTAGTTCAGGCCCTGGAAGACCAGTGAGCAGCTTGGGACCTGGGCGAATAGTTAGTAGCTCAGGTCCCCCCCATAAGCCCAAATGCACTGTTGTCTCAGAAACAATATCTTCTAAGAATATCATTACCCGGCCCAGCAATGGACAGATGAATGGAATGAAGCCTTCCTTGGCTGGCTACAGATCTGCCCAAGGTCCTCAAAGGCTTCCCTTTCCTAATGGTTACAAAAGACAGCGAGACTATGAAGAGGAGGAAGATGAGGACTATGACTCTGAAATGGAAGATTTTATAGAAGATGAAGGAGAATCTCAGGAAGAAATATCCAAGCACATTCGCGAAATCTTTGGCTATGACCGAAAAAAATACAAAGATGAAAGTGATTATGCCTTACGTTACATGGAGAGTAGTTGGAAAGAACAGCAGAAGGAAGAAGCAAAGAGTTTAAGACTAGGTATGCAAGAGGACTTAGAGGAAATGAGACGGGAGGAAGAAGCAATGAAATGCCAAAAGGTCAAGAAGCTGAAAAGACGTTAGCTGCTGCTTTTATTTATTTTTGTGAAACTCTGGAGACACTCTACTGCAAAGAAGTCCGGCCTTCAGACTGAAGAAGCCCATTCTCATTTTAGATTTATACTTGGGTCCTCAAGGACAAGGAATGGATATTGTATATTTTGAGCATAAAGTATTTTCAAATACTTTCCGGGGTGAAATCTGTAGTGCAGATGACATAATGCCCAGTGAGTGCTCTTAGGAAGTTAACTGCTCACAGGTGCCGGCCTTGATCCTGATGAGCTATGCACTCTAATGTGGGCCCACTCAACAGTCAGCCAATCTTCTTTTGTTCCTTTGCTATTTTAAAAAGGAAAAAAGATTGCCTCTTGACTTCCATAATTCTGTTGATGGGTGAGTACGGCAATGGCCGGCTCCCAATCAAACGTATTTTGTCTTTAACATGGGGCCCACTCAACAGTCAGCCAATCTTCTTTTGTTCCTTTGCTATTTTAAAAAGGAAAAAAGATTGCCTCTTGACTTCCATAATTCTGTTGATGGGTGAGTACGGCAATGGCCGGCTCCCAATCAAACGTATTTTGTCTTTTTATGAGGAATCTGGCCCTTCCATGAATGTTGCCAGGAATAAAGTCACCTGTTCTAATCTATATGTTTGGATTGAGAACTTGAAAATGTAGAGTAGGCTTTATAATTATATGGATGTCATCTCTGTGACTTTGAAGTAAAAAGTAGAATAAATTATATTGTATTCTATATTCATGGATTGGATGCTGAGCATTCTTATTCACTGATTTAGGTGATTAGGCAACTAACCAAAAAAATTTCAATTTAAAAAACAAGCTATGCCATTTGGTATAAGAATATTCTTTTCCAAGTTTTCCTTTCAGATTTATTGTAAAACAGACAATGTTACTGGGCTGAATTTTATCTAAAAAGTCATTTTATATTGAAGAAAAAATATTTTATTCAAAGATTAGAGTTGAAAGAGTAATAGCTTAAAAAATAAGCAAGTGACACCTGAGGTGACCCTTATTCCTCCATTATAAAGATACTTTGGAATCCAAGGTGCCCTTGTATCTCTTGATGTTAATAACTTTGCATTTTTATCTTTAAATTTCTTAGCAATTAATGGCAAAAACAAAAAACTAAATTCATGTGTATCAAGAGCACCACCACCTCTTTTTACTCATATTGCACTTTTATTTCAAACTATGCACTGTGCTGATCAACGGAACACTGTCTCCATGTCATTCCTTCTTCGCCACTCCGTCCACACCTTCGGGAACCCCTGGACCTGCTGGGGTTGGACCCCAACAATAATTTTAAGTTTTAAACTTGAAATAACAGAATTGCCTTTTAGAGCAAGGAGAGCAGAAAGCAGAGGAAGAAATTGTTACCTTATTAGCCAGCAGGTTGTGCATGAGTATCTGTATTTCATAAATCCTTTTGTTGTTTGTTTACTATTGTAATTATTTTGTGTATTTTTTAAATAAATCTTTTTGTTAAGATTATTACAGTTGTTCCTCTTTTTACCCCCATAGCTCCCCTCCACCCAGTTCCCACCCCACCCTCTGCCCTTACCCCCCCAATCTCCTCATCCATAGGTGTACGATTTTTGTCCAGTCTCTTCCCACCCCCTCACACCCCTGATTCTATTATATTCACCAGTTTACTCTGCTCATCAGATTTTTTTATTCACTTGATTTTTAGAATCACTTGTTGATAGATATGTATTTGTTGTTCATAATTTGTATCTTTACCTTTTTCTTCTTTCTCTTCTTATTTAATACCTTTCAGCATTTCATATAATACTGGTTTGGTGGTGATGAACTCCTTTAGCTTTTTTCTTATCAGTGAAGCTCTTTATCTGACCTTCAATTCTGAATGATAGCTTTGCTGGATAAAGTAATCTTGGTTGTAGGTTCTTGCTATTCATCACTTTGAATATTTCTTGCCACTCCCTTCTGGCCTGCATAGTTTCTGTTGAGAAATCAGCTGACAGTCGTATGGGTACTCCCTTATAGGTAACTGACTTTTTTTCTCTTGCTGCTTTTAAGATTCTCTCTTTGTCTTTTGCTCTTGGCATTTTAATTATGATGTGTCTTGGTGTGGTCCTCTTTGGATTCCTTTTGTTTGGGGTTCTCTGCACTTCCTGGACTTGTAAGTCTATTTCTTTCACCAGGTAGGGGAAGTTTTCTGTCATTATTTCTTCAAATAGGTTTTCAATATCTTGCCCTCTCTCTTCTTCTGGTACCCCTATAATTCTGATGTTGGTACGTTTGAAGCTGTCCCAGAGGCTCCTTACACTATCTTCGTATTTTTGGATTCTTTTTTCATTTTGCTTTTCCGGTTGGGTGTTTCTCGCTTCTTCGCATTTCGAATCTTTGACTTGATTCTTGCGCTCCTCTGGTCTGCTGTTGGGAGTCTGTATAATATTCTTTATTTCAGTCAGTGTATGCTTACTTTCTAGATGGTCCTTTATCACACCATCGAGGGTCTCATTAGATTTCCTGTACATCTCATCAAGTTTATCGACAGACTCTAGAAGCCTCTTGAGAGACCTCAAAAGTGTGGTTCTGAACTCAATA